TTATTGATGGGTCACAGTGTGGATTTCGAGCAAATAGATCCACCACTGACATGGTATTTTCCCTCAGATAGTTGCAGGAGAAATGCAGGGAACAACAACAGCCACTCTTTGTGGCCTTCACAGATCTCACAAAGGCCTTTGATTTGGTTAGCAGAAATGGCCTTTTTAAAATACTTCCCAAGATTGGATGTCCACCTCGACTCCTTAACATCATCAGGTCCTTTCATGAGGGAATGAAGGGAACTGTAAGTTTTGATGGCTCAACATCAGATCCCTTTGACATCCGAAGCAGAGTAAAACAGGGCTGTGTCCTCACACCAACTCTGTTGGGGATCTTTTTTTGCTGTCATGCTGAAGCAGGCCTTTGGAACTGCAACCAAAGGTGTCTATCTCCGCACTAGATCAGATGGAAAGCTCTTTAATCTCTCTAGATTGAGAGCAAGGACCAAAGTCCAACTGAAATGCATACGGGACTTCCTCTTCACCGATGATGCAGCCGTTCTGTTCAGAGCACATTACCATAGTCTCTTGAGACTGAAGGATGCCTAAAAAATTGGTGTGTCTTCCACCAATTTCCATTTCTCCTACATCAGGCTTCTGTAAAGATTTATTCATATTTATTCTAGTTTTCATATGATACATTCTGTATACATTGTGTAAAGCATTGTATACAACAGAGTAGCGGTAGTACAGGTAAACACCAGGGGATGATTACCAAAAAGATCTTCTCTGAGATGATGAATACGCCAAGCACCAGAGTAGTGTTGACAGCAGATATTGTATTATTTATAGAATATACAGGTATATTTACAGCTAAGTCTTTGTTCTCAGTCCCAAAGTAATGCACAACAGTTTCCACAGAGTTTAGTGCATATATCAGAGTCAATGTTCAGTAAATAAGTTCAATAGTCATATACCATACGTTCCATCCAGGTACATCCAGGTAGCGAGAGTTCCTCTTCAACTCCAAGCTCGCAGACACGGCTTCCTCCAGGATTCTCCAGCACAGGAACAAGACGACTCTTCTCCACAAACACACCAACCAGCATCACCACCAACAACCCACAAATTGTGTATGCTTGGTCTGCTAGTTTTATCCCATGTATGACCAATCCTAGGGCTACAATCACAGCTGTTCTAATCACCTCAGCTGTATACATTCAAGCTTTGCTTCTCTTAACTGTACTGATCCTGACAATTACTTATTGTCATGTACAAAATTTGATTTAACAATTCTATCAGGTTTAGCCTAAACCTGTCAGTATATACTATAAAGTATACGTTGTGTATACATTGTGTTTTACTCTGCACATTGTGCATAACTTGAACAGACAAGAAGAAAAAATACACCCTTCTGTGGCACCTTTATTTATAGGAAAGCCTTCTGTCATGACACTCTTTCCTAATAGTAGGCTCTAGATTAAAGATTATACATTAGAACAGTGGTCCCCAACCTTGGGCCTCCAGATGTCCTCTAGATTAAAGATTATACATTAGAACAATAAAATGTTCTGACACGCCTATTTCTTTTAACACAATCTATAGCCTTTCATGATCAACAAAGTTAAAAACTTTATGACAAACTATAAAGCTCCAGCAGACAAAATGTTCTGACATACCTATTTCTTTTAGCACAACCTATAACCTTTCATGATCCACAAAGTTAAAGACTATGACAAACTATAAAGCTCCAGCAGACAACATATATTTGCAGTGGGATCTTCAATTTATTTTTTCTGAATCCAGCTTGATCATCTGACATATCTCACTTCATCTACGGTGAAATACTTGGTTGCAAAATCTGGATCATCACTTCACTGCATGGAAAATTAATGCAATGGTCCTATTGCTATTTTTGTGTCTCTTTTCAAAGGTTTGGGATTAAATCAAATCCACCCTGCACTGGTGAATACAGTACTCTTTTTTTTGTTCTTTTTGTTGTTGCTTTCTGGTATTGGTTGAAAAGTTGCATTTAGGATGCTAACCCTGTTTCTGTCATTTTTTATTTTTGTTTCTTCTTTGCTAACAATTTTAAGGGTGTCATCAGTCATCTGTTGACTTCTTTTATTCTGATTACAGGAATACCCTTTTTTCATTCGTCCCTTATAACTTCTTTGCTCTCAATCCAAAGTTCTTCTCATTTTCCGTCAATTAACTTTAGCAGCCAGTGTGGTGTAGTGGATAGACTGATGGACTAGGAAACAGGAGACCTGGGTTCAAATCCCTGTTCAGCCATGGAAACTCACTAGGGGAAGAGACCTGGTAAAACCTTTCCTTAAATATCTCACTTACCTTTAAAGCTCTATTAGGGTCACTATAATTCAGTTCTGACTTGAAAACACAAGTCGACAATAGCAACAGCTTTAGTAAATAAAATCATTCTGATTTAGTCCTTGAATTCCTCAGAAATGCCGTTTAAATTATACTGTGGCTCTATAATTGTTTTAGTGATCTTCTTCAGTTTTATCTCAATTTTTTATATTAGCACTTCATAGTCTGTACCACGATCTATGGCTCACTTTTACTGAGTTGATAATACTTTGTCATCTTCTGCTTCTGATTATGTACTATGTTTGACTCTCATATTGGCCATCCAATAATGTCCACATGTGATATTGTGTAGTAGGTTGCCTGCAGCATGCATTTGCAATAGACAAACCACTGACTTCACAGAGCCAGTCTCCTGCTTTGTTCATGACTCCTAAGCAAAATTCTTCAGTAATGTTTGATGATTCTGATATACTGTCTTCTTTTCCATTCCAGTCACACAAGATTATCAGCATACTCTGTTTTCATGCGTGATCAACTTCCTCCTTGGTCCTTGCACAGAAGCTTTCAATTTCTTCTTCTTGTGTATTTTTACTTGGGATATTAAAGGTCATAAAATAAACAATATTTTTAAAATGTTTCTAGTCAAAGTAAAACATAATTGAATCTGCTACAGTTGCCAGTCTTATTTGCTAAACCTTATCACTAATCTCTCATGAGAAGAGAAGACACCCTGGAAAAGTCCCTGATGTTGGGAAAGTGTGAAGGCAAGAGGAGAAGGGGACAACAGAGGATGAGATGGTTGGACAGTATCATTGAAGCAACCAACATGAATTTGACACAACTCCGGGAGGCAGTGGAAGGCAGGAGGGCCTGGCGTGCTCTGGTCCATGGGGTCACGAAGAGTCGGACACGACTTAACGACTAAACAACAACAACATCACTAATTTCAGTCACAGTAGATTGACTAAATCAACTGCTGAATGGTAAATCAGTCAACACTGATTAGGTAAGTCAACCAGATTCAATAAGACTAGCTTAGCTGGATCTCCAACAGATCTTGGTCTTGGTTGGACTTGAATCCAACAATTTCAGTCATGGTTAAAAGCACAGAAGGACAGCCAAGACAGAAATGGTGAGCTCAACCGATAATTTCTGAAACACTTTGTGCTATGTTAGTAGTGTACACTTTAAAACATGACTTAAACTGACTCTGCGTCAATGGCTCACTGTTTCCAAAACAGGCTGGAAAAATGTTGGAACTGATGGAGGCTGGGGAAAACAATAGCAACCAATAAGCTATTTAATCAGGAATACATCAAATCATTACTGGTAAAAGGTACCAAAGAGTATCCCTTATACTACTCCAAAGTAATGAATCTGATAGCTCAGTGGGGTAGAATGTCTGCAGAGCCAGGAGTTTGAGTCCCCCCCAGTGCATTACAGGAAGAGGGTCCAAGAGAGATCACCCAGAACTATGTGTGGTTGATGGATTACTTGGGAAGGCAGCATGGGCTCCAAGTGCCACCAAAAGGAGATAATGGCAAACAAGTATATATAATGAGGACTGTATACAGTGGTACCTTGCATGACAACAATCCCGCTGTATGACGAATCCGCAGGACAGTGACTTTTTCGCGATCGCTATAGTGATCGCAAAATGATGTTTCCTATGGGGTTTTTTCGCTGGACGTTGATTAGGTCCTTGCTTTGCGAACCATTTGTTCGCAAGACGATGATCTTTACAGCTGATTGTTGGGTTCCTAAAATGGCTAACCCGCGTTTTCCAGACCCATGCTTTGCAGGACAGCCATTTTAACAGCTGATTGGTGCTCTCAAAATGGCTTCCCTATGGAGGATCATCGCTGGACGACAAGGTCGTCCAGCCATTGGAACGCATTAAACCGGTTTCAATGCATTCCAATAGGGAATTGTTTTTCGCATCACGACGATTTCGCTGTACAGCGATTTTCCTGGAACTGATTATTGTCGTCATGCAGGGCACCACTGTACTTAGAAAAGTCTGCTGGGGTTTCTGTAAGCCAGAAACAACTTGATGGCAGAGAAGGATGCTGCTGTGATCTGAATCAGCAACAGAAGCTAGAGGAAGAGGTAGCTGGCAGGCCCATCCTAAACACATTTACTTATAAGGATGATTCCAGTACAAATCAGTGCAAATTATTTCTAAGGAACAAATGCATATCATTGCAGGTTGAGGTTATTCTGATAATTTACGGTACAAGTCCCTGAAATCTTTCAGACCTGTGGGCCACAGATGTTCGCGGCAAATAGAAAGAAGCCAAAGAAAAACAACATCCTGATATGCTTTTCAGGATTGGCCAGGTAGAGACTTCTCAGAAGTGGTTTAAAACCCTGCACTTCCTCTGAGGAAGCCCTGGCACTGGGCAACTTGCCCAAGGCTACTCAGGCTGGCTCTATTGACAGGAGGCCTATTGGGGAATCGAACTCCCAACCTTTGGCTCTGTGGCCAGAGACCTTACTCCCTGAGCCATCCATCCAGCAGCACCTTACTAACAAGCATCAACTTGCTGCTGCCACCTACTTGATTTTCCAGAAGCCAACATAAATGAGGCCACAGGATCCAAGCCACTATCAGAAAAAGGAACACCCCAGAATTTTAGGAGCATTTTAAAGGCGTTTCCTAAATAGTCCTCAAGCTAAATGAATAAAAAAAAGGTCATGGTTCTGGTTGGGAGGTTTGCAAGTCTAACCTTGTTGAGATGGGGGTTCCTCGTGACGTCATAGCCCCTCTTTTTGATCCCGGCGCCTTTAGAAGGGGAAGGGTAGGTGTCTCCTGAATGGAAGGCGCGCCGGCTTCGGGGGATCCTGAACACCGGGCGTGGCCGGGACGTGGTCCCGATCCTCCGAAGGAGACTCCCGCGGATCATCGTCCCCAGCATCCTGGACCGCAGGGCGGGCGGCGCTGCTCACCTGCGCTGTCCTTCGGACAAGATGGGAAAAGAGGGACTTTTATTGAGCCACGCTCGTGGACGATGGGTTATGAGGATGGGGGTGGGTGGGATTTTTGTAGGGTTCCAACCCCCCAAGCCCCCTCGATCCTTTCCCCCCCTCTCCCTACCTCCCCAGGTGTAGCGGGGAAAGGGCGGCTTCCTTGCGTCCCTCGTTCTGGCTTTACCCTCCCACCAGATCAGGATCGCTGGCCGGGACGGTGCCTCCGAGGCGCGCTGGCGAGGAAGCGCGGCGACCCCGGGAAAAACGAAAGCAAGCCCCAGGAAGCAGATCAAGTAACGGCTTCGCCGGCCGGGGACTGGCTGCTGCGGCGGAGACACCGGCGCCTCCGCCTCCTTGCTCCCGCCCTCCCTTGCTCTCTCGCGCATCGGTGAAGGAACGGCTGATCCGCGGAGGAAGGGTAACGTTTCGGTCGTTCCGGGAGCGTTACGCCTCCGTTTGCCCTGGACTGGACTGCTGCCGGGGCTGGGGGAGAACGAGAGACTGGACTTGGGATTTACATCAGGGGGGCACGACCTTCAAGGGGTTAGCTCCAAAGAGAAACTGGGGCGCAGTGATTGGCAATATTGTCCTTGGGATGTTATCTTTCAACGGGAACTCGCTTCGTTACTCATGGCTCCTTGGTTTTTTTGTCTGTTTGTTTGTTTTTGCAAAGCACGCCTTTTAAAGTTATGGCTACATTGCATGGCAGAAAGCGTCATTTTGCAGCTACCAACAAGATGTTGTTGCTTAGTCATTAAGTCGTGTCTGACTCTTCGTGACCCCATGGACCAGAGCACGCCAGGCCCTCCTGTCTTCTACTGCCTCCCGGAGTTGTGTCAGGTTCATGTTGGTTGCTTCGCAGACACTGTCCAGCCATCTCATCCTCGGTCGTCCCCTTCTCCTCTTGCCTTCCCACTTTCCCAACATCAGGGCCTTTTCCAGGGAGTCTTCTCTTCTCATGAGATGGCCAAAGTATTGGAGCCTCAGCTTCAGGATCTGTCCTTCCAGTGAGCACTCGGGGTTGAACCAACAAAAAAGAAAGTACTATATGGGGAAATACTCTTGGGTTCCCTCTAGGGGTGAATTCTGATATTGCAATAAAAAAGATTTGTAAAAATATGGAAGATACAAATACTTCCCCTACCACTTAAGATAGGTGAGAGGATGGCTTAAAACATGGGAGGTTCTTGTAAAAAATATCTTTAAAATGCCTAAATGTGGCTTTAAAGGTAATGCTTGAAAAGTAACTATGTGTTACTCAGTAACTAGGTATTGCTTGTGACATTCTAAAAGTAACTAGTTGCAGGGAGCTACATTTCTTGTAACTGTTGCTTCTCGGTTTTGGTTGGCAAAGGCGTTTAAGTGAAATTGCTATGCTGAGCTATGTGTCCAGATTGGTTTGCCATTTTGATTTGCCTATAAAAGTATCTGCATAATATGGATTTCAAAATACTCTAGACACTAAAATATTCAGTAAGGCCACCCAGGCTGGCTCTATTGACAGGAGGCCGCTTAGTGGGTGAATCGAACACCCAAACTTTGGCTGTACCACCAGAGACCTAACTCCCTGAGCCATCCATCCATCCATCCATCCAGCAGCACCTTACTAACAAGCATTAACTTGCTGCTGCCACGTACTTGATTTTTCCTGAAGCCGACATAAATGAGGCCACAGGATCCTAGCCACTGTCAGAAAAAGGAACATCCCTCAATTTTAGGAGCACTTTAAAGGTGTTTCCCCTAAATAGTCCACAAGCTAAATGAATTTTAAAAAAGGTCATGCTTCTGGTTGGGAGGTTTGCGAGTCTAACCTTGTTGAGATGGGGGTTCCTCGTGACGTCATAGCCCCTCTTTTTGATCCCGGCGCCTTTAGAAGGGGAAGGGTAGGTGTCTCCTGAATGGAAGGCGCGACGGCTTCGGGGGATCCTGAACCCCGGGCGTGGCCGGGACGTGGTCCCGATCCTCCGAAGGAGACTCCCGCGGATCATCGTCCCCAGCATCCTGGACCGCAGGGCGGGCGGCGCTGCTCACCTGCGCTGTCCTTCGGACAAGATGGGAAAAGAGGGACTTTTATTGAGCCACGCTCGTGGACGATGGGTTATGAGGATGGGGGTGGGTGGGATTTTTGTAGGGTTCCAACCCCCCAAGCCCCCTCGATCCTTTCCCCCCCTCTCCCTACCTCCCCAGGTGTAGCGGGGAAAGGGCGGCTTCCTTGCGTCCCTCGTTCTGGCTTTACCCTCCCACCAGATCAGGATCGCTGGCCGGGACGGTGCCTCCGAGGCGCGCTGGCGAGGAAGCGCGGCGACCCCGGGAAAAACGAAAGCAAGCCCCAGGAAGCAGATCAAGTAACGGCTTCGCCGGCCGGGGACTGGCTGCTGCGGCGGAGACACCGGCGCCTCCGCCTCCTTGCTCCCGCCCTCCCTTGCTCTCTCGCGCATCGGTGAAGGAACGGCTGATCCGCGGAGGAAGGGTAACGTTTCGGTCGTTCCGGGAGCGTTACGCCTCCGTTTGCCCTGGACTGGACTGCTGCCGGGGCTGGGGGAGAACGAGAGACTGGACTTGGGATTTACATCAGGGGGGCACGACCTTCAAGGGGTTAGCTCCAAAGAGAAACTGGGGCGCAGTGATTGGCAATATTGTCCTTGGGACGTTACCTTTCAACGGGAGCTCGTTTCGTTACTCATGGCTCCTTGGGTTTTTGTTTGTTTGTTTTTGCAAATCACACCTTTTAAAGTTATGGCTACACTGCATGGCAGAAAGCGTCATTTCGCAGCTACCAACAAGATGTTGTTGTTTAGTCGTTAAGTCGTGTCCGACTCTTCGTGACCCCATGGACCAGAGCACGCCAGGCCCTCCTGTCTTCCACTGCCTCCCGGAGTTGGGTCACATTCATGTTGGTGGCTTCGCAGACACTGTCCAGCCATCTCATCCTCTGTCATCCCCTTCTCCTCTTGCCTTCACAATTTCCCAACATCAGGGTCTTTTCCAGGGAGTTTTCTCTTCTCATGAGATGGCCAAAGTATTGGAGCCTCAGCTTCAGGATGTTTTCGCATAGCGAAGGTTAATCCGGAACGGATTAACCTCGCTATGCGAGGCACCACTGTACTTCCCCTGCCACTTAGGATTGGTGAGAGGATGGCTTAAAACATGGGAGGTTCTTGTAAAAAATATCTTTAAAATGCCTAAATGTGGCTTTAAAGGTAATGCTTGAAAAGTAACTATGTGTTACTCATCATACCTCAGTAACTAGGTATTGCTTGTGACATTCTAAAAGTAACTAGTTGCAGGTAGCTACATTGCTTGTAACTGTTGCTTCTCAGCTTGGGTTAGAAAAGACTTTTAAGTGAAATTGCTATGCTGAGCTATGTGTCCAGATTGGTTTGCCATTTTGATTTGCCTATAAAAGTATCTGCATAATATGGATTTCAAAATACGCTAGACACTAAAATATTCAGTTCATGGCCACAACCACCTAAATGCCTCTCAAGAATTTGGAAATTTTATGAACAATGATTCCCCAAATCTCCATGCCAGTTATATTGATTGATTGATTGATTGATTGATTGATTGATTGATTGATTGATTGATTGATTGATTGATTGATTGATTGATTGGATTTCTATCCCGCCCATCTAGGCCAAAGGGGAGGGGAAGCAGCTCAGTGGTGAGAAACATATGCTTTGCCTATGGAAAGCCCCATGAACTGCAAGCAGTGCTGGGAAAACTCCAGCCTGCAACGCTGGTTGGAAAGTTTCTTGGTAAAAACTGCATTCTATGGTGTTACAAATTGTTGGTTCCACTGTAGGTCATGGACGTTAACACAGATCAGTGTGTAAAAACAATGGAAGCATCTGAAATGTAGATGCTAAGAATAAAGACCAAGAAATAATAAAAATACACAATATGCAAACAGTTAGAAACATAGACTCATAGAACAATGGAGTTGAAAAGGGCTTATAAGGCCATCGAGTCCAACTCCTTGCTCAGTGTAAGAATCCAAAATCAAAGTATATTTGACAGATAATTTCTAATTTTCCCTTAAATGCCTTCAGTGCTGAAGTGCTCACCACCTCCCAAGGTCATTGGTTCCATCGTTATACTGCTCTAACAGTTAAGAGGTTTTTTCCTCATATTCAGCCTAAATCTAGCTTCCTGTTACTTGAACCCGTTATTACATGTCCAGCATTCTGGGATGATCGAGAGCAGATCCTGATTACATGTCCTGCCTCTGGGATGATTGAGAGCAGATCCTGCCCCTCCTCTGTATGACTACCTTTCAAGTATTTGAAAAGTGCTATCATATATCCCCCCAGTCTTCTTTTTTTCAAGGCTGTCCAGTTTTTTGGGTCTTTCATCACAGGGCTTGGTTTCCAGTCCGCTGATCATCCTTCTTGCCCTCCTCTGGACTTGCTGCAGTTTGTCAGCATCCTTCTTAAGAATCGGTGTCCAGAACTGGACACAGCATTCAAGATGGGGCCTAACCAGTACCAAATTTTACTTGAGTTTGGTGTCAGGCTGGCCAGTCTGTATTTCTCAGGTTCTTCCTTTTTGCCCTTAAATTGGTGTCCAGAACTGGACACATCATTCAAGATGAGGCCTAACCAGTACCAAATTTCACTTGAGTTTGGTGTCAGGCTGGCCAGTCTGCATTTCTCAGGTTCTTCCTTTTTGCCCTTTTTGTAGATAGGGACAATTTTAGCCCTCTTCCAAAGATCCTGGAATCGGTGTCCAGAACTGGACACAGCATTCAAGATGGGGCCTAACCAGTACCAAATTTTACTTGAGTTTGGTGTCAGGCTGGCCAGTCTGCATTTCTCAGGTTCTTCCTTTTTGCCCTTTTTGTAGATAGGGACAATTTTAGCCCTCTTCCAAAGATCCTGCACTTTCACCCATCCTCCATGATTTTAAGAAAATAACAGATAGTGGTTCTGAGAGTTCTTCTGCCAGTTCCCTCAATATTCTTGGATGCAGTTTATCTGCCCCTGGAACTAATTCAAAATCTTCCTTGACCATTTGTTTATCAATCTCCAGCTGCAATCTTGTCCCTTCTACTTGCACTTCACATTTGCCTGGAGGGTCACAGGCTGGTTTTTTTTTTGGGAAAAGACTGAACAATAGTAGGAATTGAGCACTTCTGCCTTTTCTTTGTCATCTGTTACCCTTTTTTTTGTCATCCCTGTTGAATAGCTGAGCTACAGTTTCTTTTCTAAGTCTTTTGCCAGGAGAATGTTTTTTTGTTGTTGTTGCTTTTAGGATCACTTGCTAGCTTCAGCTCATTCTCAGCTTTTGCCTTCCTAACACCATTCCTGCAATCTTTGCTACTTGTCTGCATTTTTCCTTTGTGGCTTGGCCTTCCTTTCATGTCCTCTGCCTTTTCT